AAATTGTCAGATTAGAGGTATGTACACCTTTTAGCATGTAACTAGCTCACCTTACCTTAATCTGACGCGCTCGAGATTTTCAGATGATCAATTTTTTTTTACTAATCTGATCCTTCGTCCTTGCCGAGCGGCCATTTTTAAAGGGCTCATACTTGGTCCAGGTACTTAACTGGGTACAAGGTATCCCCCTGTATATTAATCTGCCGCGCTTTAGTAAATCCCGAAATCCCCGCTTCGGCTCCCCTACTATTAGCAGATGTGAGTTTAAAAGTCGACCAAAGAATCGTGATTTATATTATTTTTATAGTATATTTATTTCGTTAACTGTCTGGTAATCTCTTATTATATGAAGTAATGAGCGACAAGGAGGATCATTTAATAATTCCATACATATGTATATGTATTGTACATGCGAAATAAATCTGTGTACATATATGTCATTTACGCTCTCACGTCTAACCCTCTAAAATGAGTCGACTTGAGATAGGACATACTTAGATTGTCTTTTGTGATAAAAGAGTTAAAATATGGAATTAAAGTTTGTTATTGTCAAAGACACAAACCATGAAACTTTATTTCAAGTATTTAACATGATATAATGATTGAATATTCGTTTTAGAACTGCTGCCCATAGTAACTATACCACGCGGACGAAGTTGCGGACAAAAGCTAGTAGTAAAATAAACAGACCTCGTATTATAACACTAAAACAACTTTGTAATACAATACCACACGTGATGTTTTCATGACTATAATTAATTTATTTTTCATGTTTTCAACCAGAAATTTGTGAATACTTCAATTGTTTAACTTTTTCAAAATTTGATCATAAACATTTGTTAAAGACACACAAAATTTAAACTTCACACGCGTTTTTCTCGGTTTCTTCTTTTTGCTTCTTACTACTGTTTAGGTTCGGGACGGCAATATTTGTTTTATGGTTTTTTAATCAAGTTTGAGTATGTGAATCGATTTGTATTTTTTAATTAAGTTAAGGAACTTTTTTCCCATTAAAATGTATGTTAATTTTCATCAAGAATGTACATCAAAATCGTTTATGCGTGAAAAAGTAAAAAGGATGCACTGATTTATTCGTGTGTTTTATTAACAAATTTTTATACATAAACTGCAGCATTTTAAAGAAGAGATACCTTAATTTATTAAAAATATATATTGCAAAAATTGAACCGACTTTAATTAAAAAATATTAATCTGTCAACAATTCGGGGAAATATTTGATTAATATACGAGTATAAAAAGATACATCTCCGTCAAATGTCGAAGAACCTCTTACTTTTCAATTTTGAAGTAGGTTAAAAAATCGTTGGTTTGCTATAAAGTATTGATGATAGCGACTGGTGTCGTTTACAATTTGCCTATCACTGAATAATTATTAAATCAGCCGACTGTAGTTTTCGAAATCAGCCAACGTTTGGCTAATCAGAAGCAATAGACAATTTCAATAAGCTTTTATAGTGACGCAAAATGTATAGTGTAACATAGTCTGCGATTACATTATCATAAGGCAGCGTCACGGATTGACGCCGTTACATTGTCATATTGTACTTGAAGCGGGACCTTTTTGCTGTATTGTGTGCAAATATTTTTGATAGTTTTGATATAGAAACTAGCTAATGCCCGAGCCCAATGGCGCGTCCGGATTGCGATGCGAACATTTAGATACCGGCTTTCGTAAGGATCTGTCATTAGCATACAGGGAATATTTAAAAAAATAGTTATCTTGAGGTTCAAGGAAACATTATTTATTACCTACAAACCAAACTTGTCGTCGAACGTAGCGCTGTAGTATAGAGGTTTAATGAAATAAAACCTATGTCAAAGAGAGAGTAACAGTTTTCCTTCTTTAAAAGCTCCATAACGTAACAGCGCTGCGTTCGAGGTTGTTTTCATCAGAATATCACAATTATAATAGACTGGCGTGCTGGGTTAAAGTAAATTGTTCTTATTTGATTTTGTATAGTAAATGCATGCGCATCAACAATATTTATATAATTGTATAAAGATGACGACAAAATGGAACTAAATCGTTCTTTCTTTTATTAATTAGCTAGTAGCTGTTTTCCCACGACTTTGCTCGCGTGAATTATAGACTATGCCGTCCACGTATGATATCGCTTTTCGTAGGTAAAAGAATCTTCATGATCGGATCGGCATTTCCGTATATTATTACCCCCTAAAAAAAAAACAAACAAAGTTAGAAACTTTAACCGCTTTATAATAATAGTATTGGATAATTGATGTGACTACCTGTGTAGTTTGTTACGACTTTTGTACACAAAGCGATTTGTACGTCGTTTGGAAGATAGCGAAAAAACCTTTCGTTTATTTATTCACAAACAGATCGAGGCTATTTTAATCTAAAACACTTTTTAATATTAACTACTCGAGGAGAAGACATGAAAAAACTATTTGTTATACATTTTATGTTCGAGCCCCGACATGCACACCAACTTAGTCAATTTTAAATCAAAAGCCCGCAGAATAACGTTCCTCTTCATCGGAATGGTACCCTTGAAAATGAAACAGTTGACTAGGCTTGATAAGTATGTATATTTATAGACTAAATAAAAGACCCTTTCCTGGGTTTTATAATAGATATATGTTTGCATTTTTTTTTACTAATTTAAATTGAATTTTTATAATTAAATTACGTAACATGTTTTCGTTGGATGAATTTCAAATATTAAAATTATATATTAGGGAAAAGAGAAATGTACTTCAACATTTACGTACATCATAACAAAGTTATGTTTCGATAGGGCTTCTATTATCGACATATTTTTCTTCTAAAACTTCAATGAAATAGACTATGAACGAGATCTTTTTCTTATTTTATTAATGGCTTATTTGCGCATTTCGCACAATTATGCCAATGTCAAGCGAATAAATTATGATTACTTGTAAAATGAAATGAATGAAACATAGTTTCGATATTTTCATTGAAGTCAACAATTGTGTTGCCAAGCAATTTGAAATCCCTTGTTTGGTTGCCTGGTTACATCAATATTGTCGTTTCAGTTTACAGAGTTTACCGTTCGATGGCGCTAGTAAAAATGTCAGCTGTCACTTGTAGGGGAGACCTAGAAGAGTTGTGATAATTTTTACATAGGGGGCTCTATCTCGCTTAAGAAACATTCCACAGTTATGATATGACTCATGTGAATTACTTAAGCGCCATTCTGTTCTTCTGTTTTCAAAACCATCACTAAAATTAATTAAAGTAAAATATTTTCTGAAAAAATTTACAAAATTCAAGACCACTCCCCTTGTCACAACTCTCCTACCACCGAGGTAAGTTGTGATAGGTACCGAGGTAAGTTGTGACATCGTTGTATTTAATCTATAAGATATAAAAATACCATTACATATAACATAAATAAATCAAGCACGTTTTTTTTTATCAAAACAGTACTTTAATCGCCTTTTAGTACCTACCAACTAAAACAACATAGTATTAATATTCTCATAACAAGTAATTATAATATATTCATTAACTAAATATAGCAGGATCAAGATCAAAAAAGCGAGATCAATCATATTATTTGTATAATCAGTATAAAATCTTTATCTAATCAGATTCATAATAATGCCAAACGTAATGCAGCTCTCCAGTACAATTTACGTGTGCCTAGCCTTTGTATTCCAGGCATTGGACCCGCTTCTCATTCGATCTGCCGTCTGCAAAGGCTTCAAGGCAAACCAAATAAAAGCAATTATTTTCTGCATCTTCTTCATCACTTGTTTTATTCTTCTTATTAGTCTTCTTTGCTTTTTAGGTTTCTTTCTTTTCTTCGCTTAAGCCACGCATCTTAACATTCTTAGACTTTCAGTCTTTTGTGTATAGTTATATGGCATTCTCAAAAAAATAAGTATGCAGTATGCCATTATACACCTTTAGTAACTACTAACATACCAACAAACATCTAAAGATAATAGAAAAAATGTAAACATTGCCCAGCAGAAATATGGAGTAAGATAGGAGAGTTGTGACAGGCTGTTACAACTCGCCTAGGTGTTCAAAATGACGTCTTGGTCCGAATAATAATTCATATTTTCTAAACACGATGCGTACACAAAAAATCAGTGCCACTTATTGAGACTTAAATAACTACATAACTTAAGAAAAAATAACACAGCAATGCACATATACTAAGATATATATTCAAATAATATTTTGAAGAAAAACCTACTTTTCGCAAGTTTTTGTACACTGACGATATATTTACGCAACCATGCCACGTGCAAAGTCGACATATACCGAGTCGAATAGCGCGTGTCGAGAACGACAAACAAGCGTTAATGCCATCTCGTTTACTATAATAGGTAGAGAGAAATCCTCCTTGTCACAACTCACCTGTGTCACAACTCTCCTAGGTCGCTCTTAAGGGAATGGCTCACTCTTAGAATAATTAGGTTACGCATATGGCGTTACTCAAAATTTCAAAGATCGAAGACTAAAAGTTTGGATGTGGATACCTGGGACAAAATAAATGAGGTGTATTGACTTGTTGATCAAAAGGTAAGACGCACCGTTACCACCATAAGATGTATCTTGTTGTTAACAATATATCATCATATGATTGTATACCACACTGAAAAATATTTACATAAGATTTGTATGCCTTTATAATTTGATAGCGTTTATGCGCATCACTCTTTTTTGTAAGCTAGTATGATAGATTGTCCAAGGTTAACCAATTTAATTTTTGTTCTATGTATTTGTGTTTTTTTTTTTAATTTTATTTGAGGTTTTATAAATTGTATTTTTAAGTTTGAACAGCTGAAGTAAATTTCAAAAGTGTAGCTCACCCGTTGTAGTGTGACCAAAATTTTATTATCACGAGCTTCTCCGTACTTCCTAAGCAGTTTAACACGTTGGATGCCATGAACATTATCAGGTCACGTTTCTCCTGTGTGGCCATGATCTCTGTTAAGATTAAGTTTTATGCTCTGGGTGGCAATACTCTTGACCAGTGAGATCACGGTTTCTTCTCTATGTGGTCACGATCATCTCCAGTGGGATCACGTTTACTTCTCTTTGTAGCCACGATCATTTCTGGTAATGTCACGTTTTCTTCTCTGTGTATCCATATCCAGTCGACCTGAAAACATTTTTTTTTATAGTGCCTATAGTATCACTATGGGAATCGGTTTATATGGGACTTGGGAGCAATATTCTAGGTATAATCAATTATGTTGGAAACCCGACGTATTAAGATGTTAGTCCCGGCTGCATCTGCAGTCATTAAATCTACCAATCTCTGTGGTCTTTGCGAAAAGATCTTTATTTTGAAGGCCTTGGTCATTTAATTTGTGTGGTGACACAAGGAAACAAAAATCTGGACGTCTCGGGAATGATTCCCAATTATATATTTAATAATGTACTTGTATAAAATATAAATATATCCGTGAAACTATGAAATGCATCTAACAACTACATCCGAAAGACCTGCTGCTTGCTGTGTAATCGGCAACAAATCTCGCAAAATCCACTCTACACGTGCTTTGCCTCTTCACGTATTGTTCGTTAGCGTATCGCTATGGTATAAATCTTATAAATTACTAAAGAATCTGACTGCCATTTTGAGGCGTTCAAAAATCAGTACCGTTAGCAAATAAACACTGTTGATGAGTAGGTACACTTATTGAGTTCGGTTGTGTTGAGATCGATCACACATCATTTTTATTACGTTTTTGTTGGTTTTGATTGTTGTCGTTAAGTTTTGTTGTTACTTGTTATGGTTGACTAAATATCAACTACTATTATGATATTCACAACAAGTAAACATAATTTCACAAATAATAAATATATCTCATGTCTTTCACTTCGTTATTACTTTTGGTTATGTATAAAAATGTCCTTTACGTCAAATCGTGTTATTACAAAATAAATGTTATTTTTTTCATATTTTTTATGTTCCCTGTATATTGGGGATGTTAGCATATAAATTGATTCTTTTCTAAAAATACATACAATAAATTAACAAAGTAAAATTTTATTTTAACAATGTTTTGGGGGTTATATTCATAAATCATTTATCCCTTGTCTCTTGTACTATTCTATTTTGATATGATGTCATGCAGGTGTTATTTAGATAAGATTCCAGCGTATTAGCAATTTTTAATAATAATAATAAAAAGTAGTTTATTCGTTGTTTTTTACATTTTTACAGTGATTGAGTCTACCCTTTAAAGTAGAAATACTTGTAACAGGGGAGACCCGCTCTTATACAGTCTACTTAGTAACGAATAAAAATTATTACAAGCTTAGTGTGTGTGCAGTGTTGTCAATCAATACCAATATTGTGTGTGTGTGTGTGTGTGTGTGTGTGTGTGTGTGTGTGTGTGTGTGTGTGTGTGTGTGTGTGTGTGTGTGTGTGTGCTTTGATACAAAGCCTATCTCAGCTGTTTTTCCGCGATTTCACCCGCGTAAATTATAGCTTATGTCACGTACGATGTAGTTTCCCATAGGTAATTTTTCATGATCGAATCAATATTTCTGAAGATTATGTCCTACAAACTTTGCCATTTTATAATATTATTATAGATATTATTGTACTACTTTAACATTATAGCTGCAGACTAATTACGAGGTCAGTTGGACATTATTGTAACTAAACGACTGAATAGCTTAAATTAATAGCGTAAAATGCTATTTATTTTAATAGCGAGGCAATTGTGAACCTAGTTTTACTAATTAAAATGTTGGCGACAATCCTCAGAATATGTTTAGTACGAAGGTTATCCTCGCGTCCATTGACATGACAGCATTTTAATTTTATTAATAAATGATATTAAAGAATTGTTAAACAAAGAAATAGTTTAAATACTAAATTATAAATTGCCAGTTTTCATAACAATTGAAAAAAGTTTTGGTATTTATTTTACGAGCATAATATAACTTAATATCGTTAAAAAAATTCACTTGGTCACTGCAATCATCGATATATATGAAGTTATGAAAAAAATATGTTTTTTCTTAAATCGACATTTGCTACGTGTTTCATCGTAAAGTTCTCGACGAAGAAGGTCTCGACTCTGTCGTTACTATCTCACTACTCAACCTATCCTTATTAACATTCATCCATCATTCACTGGATGTGGTTATGTTACCTCCTTCCTTTTTAATTACATCTATAGGGAAGGCCTATGCCACAGCAGTGGGGATAGGCTTCCTTATAAATCTATATGTATATATCTTCGTAAATGACAAGAAAAGAGTTTGATATTTCAATTTGGCTGATGAAAAACACACACGTCCAATATGGCTTAATGATGATTTTAAGCTCAAACGTATGTTGTTAATTTGAAATTTTGTATAGATAATGTTACTTTATACTTACAATAATTTTAATGGTCGTTTGTGCAACTGGGTGTTAATAACGATATTATACTAAAGCGTCGAAATATACAGGCACATAGGCAGAAAACAATACTTGTCCATCAAAAAGTGTAATTTAGTTGAGACCTTTTTAAGATTCCATAGTAAACAAGGAACTCTTATAGTTTCGCCAGGTCCGTATGCCTGTCTGCACGTCCATTCATCCGTCCGTCTGTCCGCGGTTTGACTCAAAAAGTATTGATACTAGAAAGTTGTAATTTGGCATGAGTATTCACGTTAATTACGCCGACAAAGTGAAAAGAAAAATTAAAGAAAAAATTGGATATCTCCTCTACATGTAAAATGCGGATGATATATTTTTTGTCTCCCCTATAGTGTTTGGCATCATTGGATAGGTCTTTCAAAAACTTTGGGGATGTGGGAAAGCCTTTTTTTTGATTTAGTTGACCGTTTGTAACTTATTAAACTTTATAAAGCTTATTTTCGTCAGAGTCAAGTGTCCCCCTCCTCTATCAACTAAACGGTCGTTTGTAAAAATTCAATCGCTGCGGTAGTAGTAGTAACCTTAAGGCGCCATCTCCACGAGCGAGAGAATCGCAGCGATATTATCGTCGTGCCACGTGTTTCTATAAACTCTTTATGATCGCGTCTCCACACTGCGATATTATTGCGGCAATACGACGAGTGGCAATGTGCGCGCGCCCGCCGCAGAATGTGGCGTCCTCGCAGCGAGCGTGCGGCAGGCGCGTTTTCAAACGTAGTGTCGCCGCTCACCAAGCACGGATGTGATGTAATCTATTGACAAGCTTTATTCATAAACAAACCATATGTGCAATGTTTGCAACGAAAAGTTTATATTTGAAGTTAGAGAAAGGCCTGCCCTATACGATGTTGTATTTTCTGAGATACTACTTTTTTCGCTCTCACCTGGCACCTAACTGAATTCTTCCAACAAAAAAAAAAAGAATAACGCATCGTCAAGGACATGCGGTGGTTCTGTTAAGAGTCGTCTCGAATACGCTGCGATTCCGTCACGAGTCGTCGCGGATACGCTGCCATTCCGTCACTAGTCGTGACGATACACTTGCAGAATAATCGCTCATTCGTGGAGATTACTCGACGATAGAAGTGTGGACTCGTCGCGATTCTCTCGCTCGTGGAGACAGCGCCTAAGATAACGAAGTTAAAAGGAAAACTATCACAATTAGGTTGGCTTTACAAGTTTACGAGTAATAGTATTTAACTCGAAAATTTCGAACAACTCCATAGAACACTACGAACGTGAACTTTTTATTTTTTTCAACATGGATTATGGTACGGCACCCTTCTTGCCCGAGTTAGACGAGCACTTGGCCGGTTTTTAATTGTTGTGCACACCCTAAAATTTAGACATTTTCATTACCATCTAGGTTTCATCATCATCATCAGCCCTTTTACGTCCCCACAGCAGGAGCTCAGGCCTTCCTTATGGATGGTTAAGGAGGATGGGCCATGACCCTCCACGCTGGCCCAATGCGGACTGGAGGGTATTAACGACTGCAAATGCAGCCGGGACTAACGGCTTAACGTGCCTTCCGAAGCACGGAGTAGCTCGATATAATAATTTATTGGTCACCCATCCCGTGACTGACCCTTGCGAAAGTTGCTTAACGACAACGATCGCGGGCCACGGCGCTTATCCACTACGCACACCGTCTAGGTTTATTGTTTTTTAATTAGGCACCGCTATGAGTGACCGCTTTAAATTGACGATAGTAATGAACTTGATCGCTTTTCGACCTTGTAATAATAAAGAAAGTGATACTCGTTTGTTGCAATGCGTGCCGTAAAGTGGTCGGTGAATTGCATAAGTCGCTGTGAAGACAATCGAGTTTGTATTTCTCATTTGTAGGCGTCATAACACTCGAGACTTTTTCATATGAGAAGTTCATTCTATCGAAAAAACATTGACCTAATCTAAATTAAGGCAAGTTGTTTTAGATCCTCATGCAAAACCACATTTTATTTTTAAATTTGTAAAATTTTTAAACTCGAGCCTTCATGATTCTTAATATTTCTTTTTCACTTCATTTGCTCTAAAAATGTGTAAAAGTGAACCTAAAATAGCATTATAATAATATAATCCCATAGTAGGTTGGTAAGGGCTTTTTTTACTGGGAAATTATTTTTTATTTTTGTGTCTGTTACTCAATAAGCCTACAGAAGTCTTTATTTTTAAAGGACTTTTGAATAAAAACTTTTGGAAAATTAATACAAGACGACAAAAACTGATGATTGCTTATTATACTATCGCTAAAGCTCGGGAGTAACATAATATTACCTCTTACTTATAATGTGACTTTTAATTTCCTAGTATATAAAGTATTTTAGTATTTTAAGGCTTGAGCTCTTGTATGACAAATCAAACGAGCCAAAACTTTCGGTTAGGTTATTTAGTTACAAAGTTCCTTTTACTTATCTTACAGCTTAGTCATTAGATTAAAACCATTCCATATTAATATTTTGTTATCGTCCAAGTTATATAAAAAGGTAAAAACACAGAACACAGGTCCAGTATATGTAGCTAGGATTTGACTTCAAATAAAGCCGGGACCAACGGCTTAACGTGGCTTTCGAGTAGCCACGTTAAGCCGTTAATAATTTTTTGTCACCCAGTCTATTACACAATTCAGTAGTTTTCACTGCTATTAGCGCAGTATGTTTATGGGGCAGATATAATTATATAAGATCACACCTTTGGAAGTTTGCCAAAGAGCATCG